AGGGACGCAGAGTCATGTAGTGAGTGCCAGGGACAGGAGGAGGACGCTCACGCGGGACACGACGACCAGTGCGAGCAGCACGAACAGGCGACGCAGAGCGAGACGCAGGCGACACAGGACGAGACTCAGGCTCACGACGCTTTGTAAGACCTCCTGTGGGACCAGTGTAAGGAGAAGGACCAGGGAGAGGCGAGGCAGGCGGTAACTGCGACTGCGACTGGACAGGCGGAGGACACTCTAAGGAGGGAGGAGGACAAGGAGGAGGAGTCTGACCAAGAACCTGCTGAAGGAGCGGCACGAAGTACGGTCGCGGCTGCGCAGCGTCTCCAGAACCAGCAGAGACACCAGCGCCAGGGTCCTCAGGACTAGCAGCAGCTCCAACTCCAGGGTCCGCAGCACCAGTAGCAGCTCCAACGTCCGGGTCCGCAGCACCAGCCACAGCTCCAACTCCAGGGTCCGCAGCACCAGCAGCAGCTCCAACGCCCGGGTCCTCAGCACCAGCCACAGCTCCAACTCCAGGGTCCGCAGCACCAGCAGCAGCTCCAACGTCCGGGTCCGCAGCACCAGCCACAGCTCCAACTCCAGGGTCCGCAGCACCAGCAGCAGCTCCAACTCCAGGGTCCGCAGCACCAGCAGCAGCTCCAACTCCAGGGTCCGCAGCACCAGCAGCACCTCCAGCAGCACCAGCAGCACCACCAGTAGCGCTAGCAGCACCGCCAGCAGCTCCAGCACCAGCAGTAGGTCCAGGACCAGCAGAACCTCCAGGAGCACCAGCAGCACCGCCAGCAGCAGCAGCACCTGCAGCACCAGGGTCCGCGACACAAGGAGCGCTACTCCGAAGACTGCAGTGCCGCGTGTACCACTCTCGGATCCGCTGAAGGGAGGGCAGCTCCCGTCTAGGAGGGGAAGCACTAGTACCAGCTCCAGCAGCACTCCTCGGTCACGAAAGAAACAGCGAGAAGCACCTGAGTCCAGTGTGAAGGTGTGCAGTGCCTCAGTCGACTCAGTACTAGGGGGCACAGACTCACGAGCACCTAGAGCAGCAGCCTCACTAGCACCTGGGGTAGCAGACACGCGAGTACCTGGAGTGGCAGTCTCACTAGCACCTAGAGCAGCAGCCTCACTGGTCCGAATGCCCGGGTCGGTCCCACACGTCTGACCAGTGCGGTCACCAGTGCGGATGACGTACGTGCAGCTAAGCCCACCCCCCCCCCCCCCGTGCTGAGAGTACCACTCACGGGCCTCCTGGGGTGACGGAGTGTGCTGCTGGCTCTGGCCACTGCTAGCGCCTCCACGACCACCATCGCCACGGCCACCTCCTCGACCACCTACTCCCCTGCCGCCGCCGCGACCACCGCCGCCCCCACCACCGCCCCCGCCCCTGCCACCTCCCCCGCCGCTGCCGCCACCACCCCCACCGCTGCCACTAGTCCCTACAGCCCCACCACCACCCTCACCGCCGCCACCGCCTCCACCACCGCTTCCCCCGCCGTCACCTCCGCCTCCCTTGCCCCCTTTGCCCCTGCAGCGCCAGCTCGAAGCGGACGCAGTCCCGACCTTCTCAGCACCAAGGAGGTCGACAGCAGAAGCAGAGGCTCCAAGGGAAGAAGGGGTGAAGGGGAACACCCCTCAAAGAAAGGGGTGCGGGGGTCGCCACGAGAGGCACCTACAGCGACTATGCTAGCCTCAGCTGCAAGTAGTTCCTTCTCGAGGAGGGCAATGGTGAGCTCAGTGGGGCAGCGAGCTAGGAAGTGATCCCTGACTGCACGCAGAGAGTCAGGGAGGCGGGTGACTAGGTGGTAGAGAGCGGGGGGGGGGGGGGGGTTCTTAGCAAGGAACTCATCGGGCATAGCGGCACGGAAGCGGGCCTCACTAGTACGGAGGTGCGTGATGAGGTCAGCAACTGTGTGAAAAGAGGCCAGGTCGGGGAACAGGTAGGGGAGTGAGAGACGGCCTAGTGCGGCAGAGGCAGGTGAGGAGTAGCGGGCAACGACAGCAGTGTACAGTTCCTGTGCAGTCTTGTGCTGGCCAAAGTGCTCGCGCTCATCTATCGGCAGGGAGTTGCGAATAGCAAAGCGAGCGTGGGCGTCACGAGTCTGCCACTGTGAGCGGGCAGCGCTGTCAGCAGTAGCAGCAGGGGCAGTAGCATGGCCTAGGGCGTGATCGTACAGTGAGATGTCCTCCTTGGCAGTGAGCTGTAGGAAGAGGTGCAGGTCATCTAGCCAGGTGTCAAACTTCACTGGGCGGCCCTCAGCATCGAAAGCTAGCACAGGAGGGCTAGCCATAGTAGCAGTAGGAGCAGCAGTAGTGGTAGTAGTAGTAGTAGTAATAGTAGTAGTAGTAGTAGTAGTAGTAGTAGTAGTAGTAGTAGTAGTAGTAGTAGTAGTAGTAGTAGTAGTAGTAGTAGTAGTAGTAGTAGTAGTAGTAGTAGTAGTAGTAGTAGTAGTATTAGTAGGAGTAGTAGGTGCACCCTAACAGCAGTAGGCAGCGCGACTCAGGTAGGGCGGCTCGGTCCAGAGAGGCTGTTCAGTACGGGCGGCGCGACTCGGTTCAGGTAGGGCGGCGCGGCTCGGTTAGGGCAGCGTGGCTCGGTTTGGGCTGCGCGGCTCGGCTCGGACGGCCAGGTTCTGGCGGGGCCGTGGCTGTCGCGTGCGGGGCGTTAAGGGGCGGCGGGTGGGGTCGACGGGGCCGCTAAGGCGTGGGTGCGCGCGGGGTCGACGGGGCCGACGGGGCCGCTAAGGGAGGCGCGCGGGGTCGACGGGGCCAGCGGGGCCTCTAAGCGGGGCGCACGTGGGGTCGACGGGGCCAGCGGGGCCTCTGGGTGGGGCGTGCGCGGGGTCGACGGGCCAACGGGGCCTCTAAGCGGGGCGCGCGCGGGGTCGACGGGGCCAGCGGGGCCTCTAAGGGGCGGCGCGCGGGGTCGACGGGGCCTTAAGGGGCGGCGCGCGGGTCGCTAAGGGGCGGCGCGCGGGGTCGACGGGGCCTTAAGGGGCCATGAAAGAGAGGCGCACGAGGGCGCTGGGGGGGAGGCGCTAGGGAGCGCTCCGACAGTAGGGCGCACGAAGGCGCTAGTAGGCAGTCAGTAGTGGTGGGCCCGAAAAAAATTAGGTCCTAGCGAAGGACCTGCTCTGATACCATGTCAGAATGAATGAAACAGGAATGGATGAACTAACAGAAAGTTGGGTACAAGTAGGAAACCCTAAGTTTGTGTACCCCCTAAGGTCAAACCCACTACAGCCTACACAACTTAAACATGCAATGTTTGACATCCGTCAGCTGATATACCTCAACGAGGTGCCTCCAAGCTTCCAGTGCTGGAGCGACGCTCTCTTTGTAGGAGCGAATGCCGAGCTGTTCTGCGGGTGACATGTTGCGTAGCAGAACGCTGTACGCCATGAGGGACTCACTGTAGTATTGAGCCCGGGCGTCTTCGGTGTCTTCCACCGGTTTAGGATAGGAGCCGTCGAAGTAGTGATAGATCTGCGCTGTCTGTAGGAGGAGCTCAAGCTCAAAACTCCATGTGTAGAAATCCTTGCCGTCGAATGCGGCAGTAGTCTTAATTTTTGAAACGCTGAGAAAGCGTGCTTGCGCAGAGTTGATTGTTTCGTCGCTTGGACGAGGGGCAGTTGTTGCAGATTTGTCTGAATCGAGGGAGAAGCCATGCGCGGCGGTATCGCGGCTTTTCGCAGCCGGTTGTCCAGGTTGAGCTGGTTGGGAAGTGGTTCCCGCATCGCCTTTGCGCAAATCTTGGAGTTCTTTCTCCATGGTTGACAGTCGAGCGAATAACTGCTCGAGGGCGGCAGTGCCGATCGTGGTTGTCGCCTCATTTGTCGTAGCTGGGTTGGTTTGTCCTTCGGCCGTTAGATTTGTTTGACCTCCGGATCCTCTGGCAATCTTGGTCTTAGAGCGTGTGCCGCTCGCCAGATTTAGGTTCGGCGAATTTTACGGAAGTGGCGTTGCGAAGAATCCCTGAGCAGCTCTCATACCATGTTACAATCTGAAGTGAGACTTAGTGAAAGGATCGTTCAGGGTTGATCGCGGGTTGTGTCGCAGCGGAAGTATTGAACTCAGGTCAGAGTGAATGTAAAATGACTGAGATTGATAATAGCATGCATACATTGGGTTTATATAGGAATACAAAGGAATGCGAAACGACCTAGACTAGCCATGTACTCTAAGGGGTACATTCCCTTATTGCAGCGAAGTTCAGAAACCATGCGGCGCGGGAATCGGTTTCAAAACTTGTTCCCGCTCTTTTCATTTCAAATGCTTCTTCCCGCATCGCCCTTGGTCAGACGGTTGCTGTGTCGCTTCGATTCTTCTGACTCCTCGACTTCGTACTCGGTAGAGTCGGCTCCTGCAGCATACAGGAATGCCTTCTCATAAAACTTCGTATCGTAACATTATAAGTCTTATAAATGGACAAAGAACCGTTTAGAAGATACCCCCTCGTTATACAATTGCCCCTGTTTCATACACTTCCTTAACCCGTACCGTACACACAAATTGGTGTCTTATAATAAGGCTAGCTTGTTTATAAGAGACACCCGGATAATAGACAACCCCTGTCTACTATTCAACACTGTCTACTATCTGGGTGATGACGGTAGGAACGCGCCCTTACACACAACGTTGTTGGGCTGAGAAAAATGTACTAGGTAAGAATGAATGAACTAGAAAGAGTTGGGATACAAATAGGAACCCTAGAATGTGTTGTACCCCATGTAAGCTACCCCACTACAGCCTACAACCAACAACAAGCATTATAGTTTGACACACCCCCATAAGCAAAGTGGGGGAGAACAAGTGGTCACAAGACCAGTCAAAACGAACAACACAAGCTCACGGTGGATCACAAAGTCACCACACTCCGAGCACAAGCAAAGGCCACATGGCGAGTTCACATGCGTAATTATATAAAAGAGAGCAAACAGTACAGTGATCACTACCTAGCAAGTGTAAGCATGCAGGTATATATAAAGATCTCATTACAGACAAAGTCAAGCAGTGAGCAAGTGAGAGAACGTAGGCACGAGGCCTAAAGCAGTGCAGTGACGCTGATGATCACTAGGCGGAAGTGCCTTGGTGAAGACATCAGCTGTGTTGGCCCGCGTGTCCATGTAAGAAAGATGAAGCTGGCCACGCTGCTGCAGCTCTCGAGCAAGAAAGTAACGCAGAGCGATGTGCTTCGTTCCGTGCTCCAGTCTGTGCTCCTCACACAAGGTGAGGGCAGCCTTGTTGTCGACGTATAGAACTGGAGGAGAACGAGGCCGCTCTCCCAAGTCAGTCAGCAGGTAGGTGAGCCAGCGTAACTCTTGAACAGCCATGACTGCAGCGTAGATCTCAACCTCACAACTGGAGCTGAGAACAGAAGAACGGGTAGCCCGCCAAGAGACAGAACCAAGGCTGAAGGTGTAACCCTGTGACGAACCCTGCGTAGCCAGGTCGTCAACCCAAGAGGCGTCTGAGTGTCCAGTGAGGACAATGTCACCCCGTCCTCCAAGCACCAGCCCCATGCCTGATGTACTGCACAAGTAGCGCAGCACCCTCTTAGCAGCCTCCCAGTGCTCTCGCTTGTGTCTCCCAGGGGCAAACTAGCGAGCTAGGATGCTAAGAGGGTACGCAAGGTCAGGTCGAGTGCAGGTTATCAGGTACATGAGGCAGCCCACAAGCTCTGGGTACGGGCCACTCGGCTCTATGGACTCGTCCGAAGGTGGAGCTGAGAGCGAGTGACGTGTAGACAGAGGAGTGGACTGTGGTGAGGAGTACTGGAAGTCGAAGCGCTGAAGGACCTGCTGCACCATGTGTGACTAGTTAGGGTAATGGTGCAGCGTGCTCTGTCCCGGGTGATCTGCAAGCCAAGGTAGCTGCGCAGCTCACCCAGGTCTGTGCACGTGTGTCTCTTCTGCAGCTCTGACTTCACAAGGGCGAGTGCCTCAGTGTCAGCAGTGGCAAAGACGAAGTCGTCGACGTACACGAGGATGTAGAACGGCGGCAGAGAGGTGTTGGTGCGAAGAAATAGCGACGGTCAGCAGTGGAAGGAGCAAACCCAAGAGCCGCAAATGTCATCCTCAGTGTGTCGTGCCACTCACGAGGCGCCTGGCGGAGACCGTAGACTGGCCGCCGGAGGCTCCACTGGGTACCAGGAGGGAACGACCCAGTGAAGCTAGGTGGGCGGCGCAGCCAGATCTCCTCGTGCAGGTTGCCCTGTAAGAAGGTTGTGCTGAAGTCAAGAGAGTGAAGCTCGTAGTCACGCTGAGCGGCAACGTGCAGCAGCACCCGAAGAGTGGTCATCTTCGGGGTGGGGGAGAAGGTCTGGAAGAAGTCAACTCCCTCTCGCTGATTGAAGCCTCGTGCAATATAACGAGCCTTGAAGACAGGCGGAGAACCCGGCGGCCGCTTCACCCTGAAAATCCACATGCCATCGACTATGTTCGCCTCACGAGGGGGAACCTCGTCGACGAAGGTGCTTGTGGACTTCCAGGATGCCATCTCTGCGTCCATGGCTGTCTGCCACTGAGAGGAGTAGGGACCCGAGATCGCCTCTGCGTAAGAGCGCGGGGTCGGGATGTCCAGTGCATCTGGGTCTCCCTCAGGTGCAAGCAGCCAGGCCACGAGATGAGGTACAGCAACCGCAAGACACTCAAAGTCCTCCTGCCTGTCCTCAAGGACGTCCGTGCGAAGAGCACACTCACCCCCGACGGACGGAGGACACACAGACTCAGACTCAGCAACAAGACTGGCGGCGTAGTCTAGACGACACGCAGCAGCAAAGTCCACAAGCTCAGCAACTAAGGCAGACGCAGCTGTGGACTCAAACGACGGGTCAGTGACGACTGTAGCCAGAAGACGCGAGACAGTGGGGCTAGCAGCACGAACACGGTCAGAGTTAGGGTCAGGAAGCTCAGAAAGAGAGGACGCAGGAGGAGACGGCAGCGGGACGCGCTATGGAGAAGAGGAAGGACGAAGTGCCATAGTGTGAGTGCCTGGCACAGGAGGAGGACGCGGACGCGGGACACGACGAGCGGTGCGAACAGCGCGAACAGGGGAGACAGGACGAGACGCAGGCTCACGACGCTCTGTAAGGGAGACCGGCTGCTCAGTGTAACGAGACGGGGCAGGCAGCGGCGAGTCCGGAGGAAGGGCAGTGGACGAAGGAAGACTAAGAACCTGGCGGAGCACCGACTCGGGCGGAAGCTCAGACAGCTGCGGCGGCAGCACGAAAAACGGTCGCTGCTGCACAGGGCCTCCAGCTCCAGCACCTCCAACAGCAGTGCCTCCAGCGTCAACGCCTCCAGCTCCAGCGCCTCCAGCTCCAACGCCTCCAGCTCCAGTGCCTCCAGCTCCAGCGCCTCCAGCTCCAGCGCCTCCAGCTCCAGCACCTCCAGCGTCAGCACCTCCAGCTCTAGTGCCTCCAGCTCCAGCGCCTCCGGCTCCATGGCCTCCAGCTCCAGCACCTCCAGTGGTAGCACCTCCAGCTCCAGCACCTCCAGCTCCAGTGCCTCCAGCTCTGGCGCTTACAGCTCCAGCGCCTCCAGTACCAGCGCCTCCAGCTCTAGCAGTGCAACTCCTAAGGCTGGTGCGCTGAGCAAACCACTCGCGCAGCTGCTGTGGTGAGAGGGGCTCGCGCTGGCGATTCCGCTGCGGCGAGGCACCCGGAAGACCACCAGTAGACGCAGTACCACCAGGCTCAGCACCCCAGAAGCAGCACCCCCAGGCTCCGCAAGCTCAGTCTCCGTACGCACAGGCTCAGCACCCTGAGGCTCCGCACGCTCAGGCTCGACACCCCCAGGCTCCGCATTCGCAGGCTCAGCACACCAAACGCAGTACCCCGAGCAACACCACCCCCAGCAGCACCTGGGTCACCAGCGGCGCGACTCCGAAGGCGTGTGTGCCGAGCAAACCACTCACGCAGCTGCTGAGGTGAGAGAGGCTCCCGCTGGCCAGACCGCTGCGGCGAGGCACTCGGAGGACCTCCAGCAGACGCAGCACCACCAGGCACAAGACCCGCACACTAAGCACCAGCAAGCTCAGCACCCCCAGACGCAGCACCCCTAGGCTCAGTACCCCCGAGCTCCACAACCGCAGGCTCAGCACCCCCAGGCTCCACACGCTCAGGCTCAGCACCCCCAGACGCAGCACCCCGAGCAAGACTACCCCCAGCAGCACCTGAGTCACCAGTGACCTCGACAGGCTCAGCCAAGGGAAGTGGGTCTACCTGAGAGACACCTGAAGGAGCAGGACCCTGAGGGGGGAGGTAGTCTACCGGAGGGGGACCTGGAGCGAGGAAGAGCGGCAGGGGGGGGGGGAGAGGGGCAGTGCGGTAGGGAAAGAGACGGTAAAAGGGAACCGACTTGTCAAACGTGACGTCCTGAGAGGGGAAGACACGGCGCGAGGTGGGGTGGTAAAACTGCCAGCCAGGCACGTCAGGGGGAAAGCCAAGGAAGACGCAGGGAATGGCGCGAGAGGAGAGCTTGTCCGCGGTGGTATCGCGGACAAAGGCACGAGAGCCCCAGACCCGGAATCGCGACGCATCGCCAACCTCCCCCATCCACCGCAAGTGTGGGCGAGGTCTCCGGCAAGGAGACACGGGGCCAGAGGTTGAGCTGATGCGTAGCGTACCGGACCGCAAACGACCACAGAAAATGGGGAGCAGCCGCATGGATCATGGAGGTACGAGCGACCTCCATGACTAAGCCAATGCGGCGCTCAGCAACCCCATTCTGCTACGGAGAGGCCGGAAGCGTGAACGACTGGAGGATGCCCTCCCCCTGACAAAAGTCCCGCAAGAGGTCAGAGGAGAACTCACCACCTCTGTTAGAGTGCAGAAGCAGAACAGGGAAGTCCGTGCGGAACCGCTCGCGGAGCTGGAGACGTACAGCGATGATCCAGGGGATCAAGACAGTAGAGACCTCGCCCTTGCTGTGCAAGGGGAAGACCGTGGTGTAACGCGAATCATCAACAACCAGCAGAAAGTACCGCTCGCGGCCCTGTCCCTGGACGCGGGCTGGGCCCCACACGTCCATGTGGAGAGTTTGCAGGGGAGCAGTCGTCGGGGGAAACGAGGAGGAGTGAGGAGCGGTGCGCTGCCACCCCTGGACGCAAGGAATGCAGGGCGGGGCAGGCGAGGGTGGGAGGGAAGGTAGAGACCTGGGAAGACCAGAGACCAGGTAGCGAGAGTGCATGCCACGGAGACGTGGCAGGGAGGGGTGACCAAGGCGGTGGTGCCAAAGGAGGGTCTTGTGTGACAGGCGGCGACACTCACAGGAGGCTGCTACCTGACCGGACGCAGTCACCTGAGCAGACGCAGCGACATGAGGCGGCGCAGTGGTCAGTGTGTACAGGCTCGACCCCGGCCGACGGGTAAACGTGGCCAGGTGACGGCCAGTCCGGGAGCACGTGCAAATTGCCACACGCTGCCCTCCAAGGGTAAAGGTATCAACCCCTATATCCTGAAGGACATTGTTACTCACCAAGGGGAGGTGGAGGGGACCGCGGGACTCGGGAACGAGGGGAGGTGGAGACCTGACAGTGAACCGGACGGAACCGCGGGACTTGGGAGAACAGTGGAGGCACGTGCAAGAAATGGGCCCCTAGAGGGGTCAGCCAGTGAGACTGCAACGGGTCTAGGGAGTGGTGTGACTGTGGTACTGTCGCGAAAGAAGCAGCGAGAAGCACCGTAGTCAAGTGTGAAGGTGTGCAAGGCCTCAGCAGGTGCAGTACCAGAGAGAGCAGACTCACTAGCACCTAGAGCAGCAGCCTCTATACCTGGGTCGGGCGGCACACACAGGTAACAGTCACCCTCAGTACCAGCAGTCAAAGCATACATGGCAGTAAGGATAGCGTCATAGTCTAGAGCAAATATATCTACGCTATGTCGAATCAGCTCTAGCCAGTGGGGGAGCTCAGCCTCGTCGCCAAACTCTGCGCGCCAGGCGTCGCTCAGATAGGCGAAGCAGCGGGACTGTGTGTGACCAACTATCCAGCAAGTCTGACCAGCCCGAGCATCTGTGCGAATGACGTACGTGCAGCGAGCAGTACTCCGATACGTCCCTCGCTAAACGTACCACTCAGGAAGCTGCTGGGGCGTAAGGGTCTCGTGCGGATGCCGCTGCAGCTGCACCTGGCCACCGCCAGCCCTAGCGCCGCCAGCTCCAGCGCCTCCACCTCCAGTGCCTCCAACTCCAGCAGCGCCACTCAGAAGGCGGTTGCGCCGAGCGTACCACTCGCGCAGCTGCTGTGGCGTAAGGTTCTCGCGCGGACGCCGCTGCAACTGCACCTGGCTACCGCTAGAAACTCCCCACCAAACAGCTCCACCGCGACTGCCACTATGGCTGCTGCCACCACTCTCACTGCTGCCACCACCGCCGCCACCACTCCCACCGCTACCACGAATAGAACCCATAGCGGGCAAACCGAGGAGGCGTGCAACCAGCAGGGCAGCACTCAGAGAAGTCAGGGCGGCAAGGAGGCACTAGGGTAGCGTGTAGGGTAGGGCAGGGCGGCGTACGACCAGAAAAGGGCGGTGTGCGGCCAAGTAGGGCGGCGGTCGGTCAGCGAGGCTGAGCGCGGGCTGTAGAGGGCGGCGTGACGGCAGGGGCTAGTGCGGGCTGCAGGGCGAGCGCGGCTGCAGGGGCGAGCGCGGGCTGCAAGGGTGAGCGTGGCTGCAGGGGCGAGCGCGGGCTGCAGGGGCGAGCGCGGGCTGCAGGGGCGAGCGCGGGCTGCAGGGGCGAGCGCGGGCTGCAGGGGCGAGCGCGGCTGCAGGGGTAAGTGCGGGCTGCAGGGGCGAGCGCGGGCGGGCTGGGGCAGCCCGCACGGGCGACGCGACGGGCAAGGGCACGGCTTACGGCGACGCGGCGGGCTGGAGCAGCTCGCACGAGCGACGCGACGGGCTGGGGTAGCCCGCACGGGCGACGCGATTGGCCAGGGCAGGGCGTACGGGAGACGCGGCAGGCTGGAGCAGCGCGCACGAGCAACGCAGCGCGCGGCAGAGCAGGGCGTGCGCGGGGCAGGGCAGGGCGCGTGGGCAGGGAAGGCCAGGCGCGCGGGCAGGGCAGAGGCGAACGCGCGGGCAGGGTAGGGCCGGGCGCGTGGGTAGGGCAGAGGCAGCGCGAGGGCTGCAGGGGCGGCGCACGGGGCAGGGGAGGCAGCGCGAGGACTGCAGTGGCGGCGCGCGGGGCCGCAGAGGCAGCGCGAGGGCAGCAGGGAGCTGCGCGCGGGGCTGCAGAGGTAGCGCGCGGGCTACACGGGCGGCGCGCGGGGCTGCAGACAGGCGGCGCGCGGGCTGCACGGGGCGGCGCGCGCATGCGGTTCAGGGCATGGCAGTGCATGGGGTAGCGCGGTAACCGCAGACGGTCACTAAGCGGATGGTGGGCCCGAAAAGAAACAGTCCTACGGATACAAATAGGAACCCTAGAATGTGTTGTACCCCATGTAAGCTACCCCACTACAGCCTACAACCAACAACAAGCATTATAGTTTGACAAAAAATGTTGGGCTGAGAAGGCCCTTTGGATCGTTCAAGGCTAAAACTTAGTAATATGATGTAATTGCGGAAGCGTTCTCAGTGAAACTTGTTGAACCACCTTGAGCTAGTATGTGAGAACAGGATGAGTTAATCAAAGCAAAGGGATACAAGCCTTTTTATATTATTACAAAGGAATACGAAGAGTTTGACTAACTGCTATTTGTAACTGCAATTGTAACTGCTGCTGTTGCGGTTCGATACAGCGACGACTCGGGCAACTGCTCAATAGCGAGTCAGTTGTTGTCGCGCTACATTCGACAAGTCAAAGGTCGATGACCTTTGACCTTCGCATAACCTCTTATTGTTGTCTCGTGTCAACCTCTCGAGGTTGACTCACTTTGTTGCTTCGCTGTAGTTCGCCTCGCTTACGGCGTAATGCTCGATACTTCAGAAGCGTGAATTATGTGTTTTTAACACTCCCCTTCGCTTCTGGAGTGTCGTTGCTGGTGACGTGTCCTTGTCCAGTCAGCAGCATGCAGTACTCAAACTTCTGCTTTCCGAGGTTCTTGGTCAAATAGTCTGCTGCCATCTCGGATGTGGGGCAGTAGGACAGCTCAAGCCTTCCCTTCTCGATCTCGTCTTTTACGAAGAAATATCGCAGGGCGATATGCTTCGTTCGGTTCGCGAATCCATTTTTGTTTGTGATACGGATTGCCGATTGGTTGTCGCAGAAGAGGGAGAAGCTGGATAACGAAGGTAGAGCCCCTCCTTCGTTGCTGAACAGAGTGCGATATATTCTGCTTCAGCTGATGAGAGGGCAATCAGCTCTTGCTTGCTTGACTGCCACGAAATAGGACCGATAGGTTCTAAACGGTGCGCGATCGCCTGTTGTCAGAATCACCAGCGTGATCGGAGTCGACGTAGCCGATTAGTTTTGGAGTCGTGGTTCCGTTCTTATGATAAGTTAAGCCGATCGTTGGTGTGATAACAAGGTAGTGTAGTGCGCGATCAAGTTCGGCCATGTGCTCTGCTTCGGGCTTCTTGAGATAGGTGGCGAGTTGGCTTGCTGAGTATGATAGGTCCGGTCGGCAGGTAACGGCTGCGAAGAGTAGGCATCCCAGTTTTTGATGGTAGTGGCGTATGCCGGCGTGTCCGAGCGAGGTGGAGCTTTCCTTGTTGTTTCCGGCGGTGTACCGGTATGGCGTGGAGATGGTTGCTGGCGACAGCCTGAAGCGTTTTGCGATGGTGTCGGCGTATTTAGCGGCGCTGAGATAGATTGCTTTTTCGCCGTCTTGGATGTTGAACCCCAGATATTGGGTTTCGGTAGACGAGACAGTAAGGGTAAGGTCTTTCTGCAGCTCCCCTTCAAACCAGGTCGTGATGTTGTCGATGGAGCCTATGTAGAGCAAGTCGTCCACGTAGACAATGAGCAGAATGTAGTCGGTTCCCTTGATGAGTCGGTACATGCCTTGATCGTGCGGTAGCTGTTTGACGGAACCCGATGCGGATTAGTCGGGCGTGTAGGTAGTACTGCCACAGTCTCGGAGCTGGTTTAATCCCGTACAGGGATTTAAGCAGCTGACAGACTTGGTTGGGGTCTGTGTCTGAGCCGTGCGGCTGCTCGACGAAAATTTCGGCGTCGACAAGGGCGTAGAGGAATGCGTTGGCCACGTCGATCTGGCGAAGCTTCTTTCGCTTCATGGTGGCTATCGCGAGGAAACTTTGGAGCGAGGTGTGTCGGCTGACAGGCGCAAAGGTCTCGGTGAATTCTCGTCCGTGTTCTTAGTCGAAACCGCACACGACACATCGTGCTTTGAACCCGTCGATCGTTCCGTCTGCCTTTGTCTTCACACGGAAGACCCATTTCCCGGTGAGTACGGTCTTGTTGCGTGCCAGGGCGATGGGTACGATTTTCCAGGTATTCCGGTCTTCCAATGCCTTTAGTTCTTTGTCGATGGCTTCGCGCCATTTTTCCCTGTGCTCCCCCCCCAGAGCCTGTTGAACTATAGCAGGCTCCTTAGGTGGCGAAGCTCCGTGGACGGCGGTGACTAGTCCAAGTATCTCAAGACCACTTAGTGAGAGTC